AGAGACATTAAGAAGACGAAGAAGAAGAAGAAGAAGAAGAAAGGAAACCCATGCGTTTCAGCCAGGACTTCATTATTTGATCGTTTTATTTTTGGAAAGTTTGTTTCATATTGTATTATTCCCTGAACAAAACCTATGTTTTGACAAAACTGCACATAATAGGTAAATGGTGAGTAAAGTAGACTAATAAAAGTCTATTTGTAATTTAACTATAACTATGGGTTCAATGTTTAGAATGTAATGAATGATGTGGGGTTTTTTTCTTAAGAAAATTGACTCTAAGTATAACATGACATTGTGTCCATATTAACCCTTTATGATCAATGCTGCAAGTTAAAATAATGAATTGAAAAACGATTCTAAAGTCGTGTCTTTGCAGGATCCAGTGCATTAGCCCAACCCACTGATCATGTGATCAAACTTTTATGTAAGCCTTATTCAACATCATGCAACGGCCTCACATCAAGATGCTGTTCTTCTGTCTGTCTTTGTCCCTGTTGTTCCAATCAGGTCAGTCTGTCTGATTTGTTTTACTGTATTTGAATTGAACTGAACTTGAATCAAAAGGTTGTTTTTACTTCAGGTCTTCCCATCAGAGTGATCCAACCAGTGAGACACATCCTGGCAGACATGGGCTCTTCCATAAGGATGGACTGCAGTTTGGAACAATATTCAATGAACAGCGCTTGGATGTACTGGTTTGGACAGAGGAACAATGGGGCAGAGATAAAGAAAATCTGCTCAGAAAATGACTTAAAAACAGAGCATTTTAAGTGTTTCCTCGATGGAGCCAATAATAACTTTTCTGTGGAGATCAAAGTGCTGATCCCAGACGACACAGGCTCGTACTACTGCACTGCCTCTCACAGCAATGCATTCTACCACAGCGCTGTACAGATACAGACACCTGTAGGCGGGAGCCGGGAATTAGAAAGGAAAGATTTTCATAGGTTTACATGGTCTTCATACAAATGTCAAGACTCAAATCAAGAATTATATTGTTTTTTCAGTGGGTTCAATAAAATTAAAATAAATAAAATAATAAAATAAATAGTACAATAAAAATAACTCCAATGTTCAAATCAAATTTATAATTGTGTGATCTCATTCCCACACAGACCTGTCCAGGCAACACATGTCACTCCACACAGGATTTTATTTGCACTTAAAGCTGGGGCTCTTAACTTTTTTATTATAGAAATATACCATGTTTTGTTGTATCTTATATTAACTGAGACCTGCCTTTGCTGGTCCTGTCTTCACTTTTCTGTCTGAAAAAGATCTTCTGAAAAGTCTAAAAATACATGCATGTGAAAACTATTGACAGAATCAAACTGTTGAAGGCCAGGAACTATAGTTACATTGATTGTATTACTTAGTTCACTTTATTGTTAATTGAAATTTTTGTTCTCACAATGTAAAGAAAAACAAATGGTCTGAGTAATTGACCATAATCCATAATCTCCATCCATAGTTAAAATTGCTGATGGTATTTGTTTCATTAAAGACTGATGGACAAATTGCTATTGATGGTTGAGATGTAATTTTTGACATCTACTGTTACCTTATTTCTTTTCAATCAAAGTTAAAGCTGCACTAACTGACTTTATTTTTGTATTCATTACGAAAATGCTATCCATGTCCATGTAGTGCATTGGGATATACGTCCTTTTGAAGAAAAAGTAGCGCAGATTTGTGCTGGCCTGACATTATATTTTCGATCGAGTTTTGATGAAACAAGGAAGAGAATGTGTTTCGGGTCGCAGATTGTGACCAATCACAACGGACCACTAGCCCCCACTTTCGTGAGAAATCTCCAGGTCCGTTAGCACAGACAGCTGAGTTAGCACAACAAGCGGCGGAGCTAACCTGAAACTTTCTCGTCTTCGTCACCGGGTACTGCTTACACAGCGAGACAGCCATCCAAAAGAAAGTCTCGTTCCTCCGCGCTTCCCGGTTCTATCGTTCTATGGTCACGCCATCCACGTGAAAATCCATATCCATGTATTATCCATATTGGGAGAGGCTAGCTCCGTCTCAACAGTGAGTGTGTGTGGGGGGCGATAGCTTCGTGGGTGCGGGGAGGGGAGCAGAAAGAGCGAGGCCAGCGAGTCCGCGGCTTCAAAATCCCAAAGTCAGTTAGTGCAGCTTTAAGGTATGATTTTTACTAATGCTCAGGAATTAAGTAAAGAAATCAAGAGAACTCCATGGGGTTTCAGAACAGTTTAAGTGCGATTATAGTGTGACAGTGGACTTTCTCCACCGACTCCCACTGATGTCTGCTGTTGTTGTGTCCTTGGCAAGACACTTAACCTCTGGGAACACCAGCCACAGTGGGGCGGTTGTGGCTGTAAAGTGCCATACTGCCGTTGTGTCCTTAGGCAAGACACTTCACCCCCATTGCCTAGAATGAGTATGGTGTGTGTGTGAATGGTTGGTGGTGGTCAGAGTATGGCACATACTGGTTGCCTCGTATCTGTCAGTGTGCCCCAGGGCAGCTGTGGCTACATGTATGGAGTGAATAATGACATGTGAAGCGCCTTTGAGTGTCCAAAAAAACGCTATTTTAAACCAATGCATTATTATTATTATTATTATTAGAATTGAGTTAATGTCGTTAAAATAAATTATTGGAGATGTTTGGGTAATTGTGTGTGCGGACTGGGTCGTCGAGGTCTCCGCCTTCGACTGCTGCCCAGTCCTCTCTGCACCATGCCACCACGGACCCCTCTGCAGGTGGTGGGCCCACAGGAGGGACTGCCCACGTCGTCCATTCGGGCTGAGCCCGGCCGGGCCCCGTGGGCTAAGGCCCGGCCACCAGGCGCTCGCCTACGAGCCCCGACCCCAGGCCTGGCTCCAGGGTGGGGCCCCGGCTGCGCCATGCCGGGCGACGTCACTGGTTTCGTATGAGTGCTGTCCATGGTGTCTTCTGGACTGCTCTTTGTCTGACTCGTCACCCGAGACCTGTCTGCCATGGGAGGCCCTACCAGGGGCATGAAGCCCCAGACAGCATAGCTCCCAGGATCATCCGAGTACTCAAACTCCCCCACCACGTTAAGGTGAATCAGCACCTCCAAATCTGAGGCCATGGTGCTCGACCGGAAAAAGGTGCCCTGCCCTCTTCAGGTGGGTGGAGAGGTCCTTCCTCAAGTGGAGGAGTTCAAGTATCTCGGGGTCTTGTTCACGAGTGAGGGAAGAATGGAGCGTGAGATTGACAGGCGGATCGGTGCAGCGTGCGCAGTTATGCGGTCGCTGTATCGGACCGTTGTGGTAAAGAGGGAGCTGAGCCGAAAGGCAAAGCTCTCGATTTACCGGTCAATCTTCGTTCCCTCCCTCACCTATGGTCATGAGCTTTGGGTAATGACCGAAAGAACGAGATCGCAGATACAAGCGGTCGAAATGAACTTCCTCCGCAGAGTGGCTGGGCGCTCCCTTAGAGATAGGGTGAGGAGCTCAGTCACACGGGAGGAGCTCGGAGTAGAGCCGCTGCTTCTCCACGTCGAGAGGAACCAGTTGAGGTGGCTCGGGCATCTGTTCCGGATGCCTCCTGGACGCCTCCCTGGGGAGGTGTTCCGGGCACGTCCCACCGGGAGGAGGCCCCGCGGAAGACCTAGGACACGCTGGAGGGACTATGTCTCTCAGCTGGCCTGGGAACGCCTTGGGGTCCCCCCGGACGAGCTGGAGGAAGTGTGTGTGGATAGGGAAGTCTGGGCGTCTCTGCTTAGACTGCTGCCCCCGCGACCCGGCAACGGATAAAGCGGAAGAAAATGGATGGATGGATGGGTTTGGGTAATTGGAGAGCACAGAAGAAAGTTGCTGGACAGTTTTGCCACATCTTAGACCACATGAAAATGATCACTTGTTCTCAAAGTGTGTTCTGAACTTCTGAGGATACCATAAAAATGATTATTTTATTTTTTATTGATTATTATGTAAAAAGGTATGAAGAATGAATAACAGACTAAAGAAAGAGAATAAGAAACCAGTCCAACAAAACGTCACACGTCATGTACTGTACGTCATGTACTGTACGTCATGTACTGTACGTCATGCGTGTATTCTTCACATGTGCGATGTCCTAAATCATCTTCCTGTTCTTTAAAAACATCTTCTTGTCTCTTGTGAAACATGAGATGTACAGACATGAGTGAAGCGGCTTCTCTCGGAGGAGGCGCCAGAGTTCAAGGCTTTTTGTATGAAGTCATTTCATCGTGGGGACAGGGGGCACCGTGATACACTCCAATAGAAGCGTCGTACAAAAACCTCTGCACCCTCACACAGCTGCACCGCGGAGCTGGGATCACAGTCTCTGTACCAATGTGGCTAGAGCCAGAGCCGGAGCCAGTATTGGAGACCACACAGGACCTGGTTGGGGTCACAGTTTGGCCACTTTTGGGAGAATCTATTGGTACATGAAATTAAAAAGAGCAGAATAACTGAGCAGTGAAGTGTGAGTTTTGATCTGCGTGAACTGCACTGTGACCTACTCTGAACCTGCTTACTTTGGACCAGGAACCAGGCTCACTGTTCTTGGTAAGTGCTACAATGTTTAAAATATATCTGGGATTATATTACATACAATTATGGTGTTAGCAACTCCACGTATATGGGAAGTATAGTGCCAATGAACGATGGTATAGGACCATTTTGCTTTGTAACGGTTCACTGTGACAATCTGAACGAAGCTTACTTTGGGACTGGAACAAAGCTGACAGTGTTGGGTGAGTACATACTATGAAATATTTATCATTTACATAGTATAGTGAGAATAACTGAAGTTTGAGGAGGCGGTTCTTCTGAGGATTTTTGCTATCAAGCTTAAGCTCTGTGCAAACTATGAAGCATATTTCGGCCAAGGGACCAAGCTGACTGTTCTGGGTGAGTAGGAGAAATGATCCCTGGAGATTTAAAGGAATTGAACATTGTACATGTTTGTGGTACATAGCAGATTACATTTAGTTTGAGAAAGGCATTAGTTTCAGTGTTATGGCAAAGGCTTAATGCACTGTGTTGGTACTGGCTCCGTGGCTTTCTTTGGTGGAGGAACCAAATTAACAGTTTTAGGTAAGACATTGTATCGTCTGATTGTGTCGTGAGTATTTCGGCTTGTAACACATTTTAATTGACTTATCTCTAAAACCAAAATAATTGCTCGAATAAGGTTTTCATGTGTGGAAACAACTCAAGCTCCATGCAGGTGCGACTGTGGTAAAAGTAGGTTTTTGCACAATTGAGTTACTCTGTGCTCTTACAACGAGGCTTACTTTGGAGCTGGAACCAAACTCACCGTTTTGGGTAAGAAAAAATAACTTGCAACTGTTGTAAATGACTTATAAATGCTGTAATCCTCTTACTTTATCATATAAATGTTTTGATGTGTTTAGGCAGATCATTTCAGCGAGTGGAGTGTAGATATTATTTGGTTTTATACTTTGGGTAATGTTCCAAGCTTATATCATTATGAAAAAACAGTACTATGGAAATTACTAATCACGCTCATATAGTCTAAAAATATTTTGCTGCTGATCGAATCATATAATTTCAATTTAAAAACTCCTAAAACACGCATTACTTGGTTTAACATGTTTGAAAATGTTGGAGTCAAAATGCGTATCTCATAAATTACATCAGGAGGGTTGAGGTTTGACGCTGGCACTGTGTCAGTGTGAACAGCTATGAACCAGCCTATTTTGGAGAAGGAACCAAATTAACTGTTTTAGGTAAGAAATGTATCTTTAAATAATTCTACAGTGTATTGAAAATGTTTAGTACTTGGTGGAAATATGCAAAGAAATGTATGATGAGAAAAAAACTGAAGAAAAAAACTTACTATACATTATAAGTATGTATTTATAATTGGCTTCTTAATGGACAATTTTATTTTTATTCATTTTGTGCAAGAACCAGATTTTAAAGTTTCAAAGAACCATAAAAATCTACTGTTGGTTATCTATTATAAAAGAAAAATCAAAACTATTTGGGATTTCATCTTGAATTACAAATGTATATTATCTGTAAAACATCTCAACTTGAAGGGTTGGTGAAATGGCAACTAAACAAAATAAAATTGTGATGAAAAAACAGTGGAACGTAACACAACTTTGTCCCATTTTCCAGTGAATAAAATAAAATAGTCAGGGTGAGCCCAAGCCTTTGATACTGTATTCTTGAGTGCAGAAAAGGACCAAGAGATCACTCCCCCCACAGTGGAAGTCTTTGCCCCGTCTGAGAAGGAGCGTCCGCAGAGAAGAGACGGACCCAAAGCCAAGACACTGGTGTGTGTGGCCAGAGACTTCTACCCGGATCATGTGACCGTGTCCTGGCAGGTAAAGAGGACACTTAACATTTCAGTGGTCACGGAAAAATTATTTCTATTGTTAATTTAGTGTTTTAAACAAAGAGTAAATATTTCCCTTATTTACCGGTAATTAGGCTCCCCGTTAGTCAACTTAAAATCTGTTCTTCCTCTAGTCCATTCCAAAAATAATCTCAACCAGTAATTCATAATACACACATTTACTGCACAATACACAATATTATAAGTGTCCATTACATCGAAAGCGTATAACCTTCTGTCTTATATAAAGTCCAAATATGGGTTTTGGGGTCTATATTGTCCAGTAAATGCAGTGGTGACTATGGCTTAAAAACAGCCCTCAGACCAATGTTTTGAAAAAACAAATTGGAAACTTTAACTCAAATGTAACTTTTGTTGAAAGATTCTCAGCCCTGAGTTAACAATAGCAATGATCAAAATTGGATTGATGGTAGTTGATTCCTCGCTGTATCCCTTCTTTTTTTTAGGTCAACAAAGATTCCAGAGTACACGGGGTATCTACAGACACTGAGCCCCAGAGGCAAGGCAAGAAATACACCATCAGCAGCCGCCTCAGGGTGACAGTGGAAGAGTGGACACAGCCAGAGAACATTTTCACCTGCATCGTGAGCTTCTTTGACGGGCGAGAGAACAAAGATTACAAAGACAATATTCGGGGCATCAAGAGTAAGGCCAAATCATTTCTAATTTAATTGAAAGAAGAAAATAATCTATTCTTAATCTGTATTCTCCTCAGAACAAGAAGACAGTAGCTGGACTAGAGGTACATTATTGAATTAATTATCTCTGTTGTATTTTTTATTATGAAAACACATTCCCACCAGTGGATCAGCAAGTGGAGAGGACAAGTTGTATTTTTGACATGGTTTTACCTTTTCATTGTCAAAAATATAGCAGCCATAATGATACATTTTGAAGAACATATCTAATTAATTATGTAATTATGAGCTGCACATTATAAATACATCCATCCTCTATGGTCACTGATTATTGGACCAAGGCTAAGATGGCACTTCATTTATTAAGCTTTAAAAGTGGCATCATCTGTCCTTTCCTGACTGTGAACAAGCCCAGGACCCTATCAGAGGAAATAATTATCAGTTCATTAAAAGAAGCTAAAGGCGTTAACTGAAGGTGCTGAAACCTTTACTTTTTCTATTTATATATATTTGATCTTCCAAATATCAATGTTTTATATTTCAAATATAAAATCATAGCAAATTCTATATATTATATAATTATACATTATTTGTGGCTCATGCCTTTCGGAGATGATCAGTCAGTCTTCTCTCTTCACGGTAAAAGATGTGATCTGGGGTGTCCAAACTTTCACAGCCCACATATTGACAGATGTTTTCATCAGGGCTAACGTTTGTGTTTGTTTTCTGTTAGATACATAACTTATAACCATGATATTTTAAGTTTTTAACTAGAGCAATTTAGAGTGTCAAAAATAGTTGAAACTCATGTATTTCTGATGTTGGAAAATCAAAGTCAGAAGTATTTATTTTGAATTGAGGACTATGTATATAAATACAAATTAAAAAACTGTTTGTGTTTGTTACTCCTCAGAGGAATATCTGAAGATGACCCAACATGCAAAACTGTCCTACACCCTCTTAATTGCCAAAGGTGTCGTCTACGGGCTCTTTGTGGCTTTTCTGATCTGGAGGGTTCAGGTAATATTAAAATATGTTTGTTTTTTACTTTCAGTGACCTCATTATGTGCTGTTCTGTTTCAGGCTTTAAATGGAAAACAAACCTGAGCAGTGCTGAGTAAACTGACATGTTTTAAATGTGTTTAATATAATCTGACCAACACGAGCAAAGCACATCTTACAGAGATCCTTTAGTGAGACTAAAGTGTCAAATGTGTTGGGTATATTTCTTCACACATATTTTCTTGTATTTGTTTTTTCTGTGTAGTACAAAAGTCTGTAACCATTATTGCATTTTGTGATCATATCAATGCTACTGCTTTTTACATCCTCCCATATTCTGAATTTGAGTGCTTCGTAAATTCCTACTGCTTTGGAACTGGAACAAACTGCCTTGTAAATAAAGTAAATTGAAATGAAATCTCTTTCCCTAAACAATATCAGGATTACTTTCTTGCTGTGTTATTTACAGTACTTAGTGTAAATCAAGCTATACTTTATTTTCCCTGTGGAGATTTTAAAATAAGATTAAGTGTTGATACAATGTCCTGATAAAATGTCTTAAAACATAGGTTTGTTGCACTTAGGGAAGGAGCTTAAGTATCTTTCTAATCATTTTTGACACATTATCCAACAAGGAAAACATGGAAACACCAACATGCATCTTTTTGGAGTTTGTTTAAAATAAAATACCAATAAAACGACCAAAGCATGCAAAGACCCAGAAGAGAACAGCATTACAGCCACAACATGACAGGAAATACGTCTGTTTTCAAACCAGGTTACCGCCGGTTGTTGGTGCGACAGGAAACAAGTTGCGGTCTTAACATTTGAAAAACTGTAACCACAAGCCACTGCACCTGCAAACATTTAGTTACTTTTGCAGATTTCTGGTGCAGTAGTCACTAAGATTCCAACTTGATCAGAGAAACATCTGACAGAAGAACAGACTGGGTTATAACATGACTTTTTACAAACTTAATAAAAGTCTATTGCAGATGCTTTGGTATTCCAAAGCTGAACCCTGAACGCTCTGAAAGCAGCAGAATAATCATACGATTAAAGGACTTCCTGTTTCCATCTCTTGTTCTGATAATTAGACCTCGCCTCAGCAGTCATCATACAGTTTACAGAAACACATGACGGCAATTCTTATAGTAATGAAATAAAAGTATACAGTCAATTATCTATTGTCAGTTTGAGCTGCTCGACCTTACTATTTATTTACTTATCTTTGATCTTATTGCCAGTTACATTTTCTCTTGGTCAAAAAAATATTCATTATTATGAGGAAGATTTGGATAATGTGTATATTCAGAAAGTAACTGGAATATGTTTAAAATGGAAATAAGTGGCTGCTCAGTGGTTGCTCTGTGGTGGTGTTCTGTTTCCATAAAGGTTACAGCATGGTATTTACATGAATCAAAGATTAAATACAGAGTGTGGGTGTATGTTTCCTATTCCAACAAGATACCCAGAGGCTGTCCACAAAAATCACGCTATTTATGTATTGCTCAATTGTTTTTACTATCGACAAAATAAACAGGATTTAAGCATCTTTTATGTTTTAACAAAACATGTAAAGCGTAATTCCACAAAAAATAGCAGCCTGAATATGTTGCTGTTTCAACCTAATCAAATCACAAATTGCAGAGCTCTCGGTTATAAATTGTATGATTTCATTGTCAGTTTCCACTTCTGTTTTTGAGAATGGAATGTCTAACCGAAGATAGTATATACTACCCCCTCAATGAACGACTGAGGTATAGTAACATTTATGAAATGCAAAGAGCAACATCTAGTGGGCACCTTTATAACTACAAATATGAAAACATGATTTGAGAGCAATTCTAAAAAGGTAATCAAAACAAACCAGTTTAATCATAATTAATAAAATGCTACGATGAAACTAAAATAATGTCCTTATCAAGAGGATTAAAAAAACGGATGACAGAAGGAAAAGTAAACACCTGCACTCCCTGCTTTGTCCACTAGATGTCCCTACTGCACCTGTGTGTGGTCTGTCCCAGCCTCAGCCCTCTTGTAAAAACACTGAATTATCCATTGTGAATCTTTGTCTGTGGTGGAGTTTAAGGACAGGAAAACGAACCATAATGTGTTTTAATGTGTCCATCAGTGGCTTCTGTGTTTGGTTGTGCTTTCACCAGGGAGACGACGCTTTGATCACGGCTGGAGTGACGCGCAATAAACTGCACCGTAGAAAAGGGACAGTAAACACCTCACATACAGCTTCAGGGTTTACGGCTTCTACACAAATGACCTGTGCTTCTGCTCCAGTTTGGATTCCAAAGCAAACACTTTAAAATAATAATATTGACATCCCTAGTTTAAAGCCAAAGTTTTCATTGCCATACAGTATATGCAAGTCTAGCCATAACAAAGCAACATAATGTGACTTCAAATCAACCATTTATGTTTGTGTGTGTGTTGGGGTAACCGACTTTCTATCCTCACAAACATCAACTATAGTGCCTGCATGGCTCTAAAACGGTTTGGTTCTATCACTAGTTTTCACATGCATGTAAGCTTGGCCTTTGTCACATCTTTAGATCAGCTTTGTTTGGCAGAGGACCACCCTCACTCAACCAATCAGCTCTCAGCTCAAAGACACACAGGGCTATGCAAAGATAACATGTTTCATTTACAATAAAGATAGAATGTTGTGACCTGATCTATTCATATTTTACACAATTCAGATTCAGAGGAAATTCAGGGGCAATTTGTTTGAGCAGCACAGGGCATAAAAACATTGAAAACACATAAAAACATAGGAAATATATGAAGTGGTATGAAGTGGGGTCCCATACAAACATATGAACATAATACAACCATATAGCTCTAAAGCCAAAGTCCATATCACCAACAAGCTACGGAGAGTTCTGCAGTCTAATAGCGGTTGGGACAAAAGATTTTAAGTGACGATTGGTTTTACAATATGCTGCAACCATAACATTTTCCTGATAGAAGCAAAGTGAACTCATCATTCATTTGTGTGGGGACAAACAATATGGATTATTTATGAGGGAAAGGGAAGGTACCCCAACTTTAACCTTACTAAGCTGTTGTTATCACAGTCTAGTTACCTAAAGCTTTCAGTTGATAAATTGTTATCCATTGGAGCTGGGTTAATTTCTCTAAAATTGAAATGATGAGATCCCTTGTGTAAAATAATAATAATAATAATAATAATAAAAAAATCACTCCAAAATCACACAATGATAGCTATTTTTTCCAACACTAATATCGCCTCCCCGACAGACCCATGTGGGTGATAAACGTGTTTGTGAATCTTGCCCCTGACAGAAGCTGTGTGGGGCCTATGTGTACCTGCTCTTCATGCTGGTGGCAGTCGTGGCCTTCTCTTTCACTCTGCTCCGATTGCCTGAGACCAAGGGACGAACATTTGACGACATTGCAGAGGAGTTCAGAGGAGCAGACGAAATCCCACTCAACAAGACCGGCTTCAACACTTTCAACTGAACCAGACTCTGCCGCCAATTTCAACTGTTGCCGCAAACATCAAATTAGCTCATTGTAAATGTGTATTGACTAAGCAGTATTTATCATGATTTGAGTATATTTTTAATGTTTTAAATCATAATGGCTGATAGAAGAAGGAGTCCAGTTTTCATTTGAAACGCTGCAGCAAAAACATTCTTAAAAGTTCTCAATAAAAAGTTGTCAATTGAAGATACCGGTGAAACAGGTAAATTAAAAAAGGATTGAAAAATCTATTTACCCGTTTCAAATCTCCACTTAATTCAAAAATCAGTTTTCTGTCAAACTAATGACACATTTTAAGTTAAATAATAGAAATGAATGAACGAGATTATAATGTTCCGAGTTTTACCTGTAAATACAACTTACTTCACAGAAATCATGCAGTTTTTTTCACCTTCCCTCAGATATGAATTCTGTACGCATCAAAACAACTATTGATAAGTTTATCGAGCGAGGGCACATGTCAGAACTATAGTTGTTTTTAGTGGTAGGGGAAACCGGAGCACCCGGAGGAAACCTACGCACATTAGAACATGCTTGAATATTGTTCCTTATGCAGACATAGTTGTCAATGTAAAATATATTATATACAAAGATGATCATTTACTTTGTATCTGTAACCAGCTCCTGTCATCTCACTGTGAAAATATTAATTTTTAAGATTATTTTAAATATTTATTTCCAACTTGGATTTTTCACACAGCATAAAACAAACGAGATACAGAAGTAGTTTTGAAAAAACGCACGCACACACACACACACACACACACACACACACACACACACACACACACACTGCAGTTTTCAACCTCAGCACTGGGAGGAGCTAAAACCTGCTTTGAGCTTTAATAAGTAGAGCTGTTCATTGAGCATGCTGAACTCCGAACAGCTACAGACACTTCAGAATCATGTTAATGCCTTATGTTTTCTTAAGTTTGTTCATTTACGGAGCTACAGGTAAGAAAACAACATATATTTAAAAATGCTGAAAAATATGCAGGTTTTTTGGGTAATCAGTCATATTTTTCTTCCCAAAGCTGAACAGACAGTGTTCCAAACTCCTCTTGGAGTGATCCAATCCGCTGGTGAATTTACCGTCAAAATGCAATGTTTCCATAAAGAGAACAATTATGAGCAAATTCACTGGTACAAGCAAGATAAAAGTGGAAACTATAGATTCCTGGGCATCCTGAACGTCCACAAAGCCTTCCCAGAGGATGATCTCACCGAGCGCATTGGCTTCAGTGGAAATGGCCGCTCTGGTGGCACTCTCTCCATAGAGAATGTGACCGTGGAGGACTCTGGAGTGTATTTCTGTGCAGCCAGACGACACGGTGCTGCAGATCCTTTTAAAACCCTCACAAAAACCTCCCCCAAATGTGATGATCGGAGCACCTGCAAACAGCAAAACCACAGCTCAACTCAAATGAACCCAATGCAAACTGCTGGGACTTCCACCACAGCAGATGGCATGTGTGCCAGACTCCACAGAACAGATAGACTAACTTTACCCCCGTCATGCACTGTTTATATCATTCATTAACTTTACCTCAAAATGTAATCTTACTATCCCACAAGAGGGAGGCAGTTGTTAGAAAATGACACTTCCAAATGCATTTACATTGCATATAATACATCCACACTCACTGCAGTCACACAAATATGATCCTGTTATTTCTTTTGATAGTGCATGGCAGAAAAAAGTAAGTATTCAAAAGCACATATTTGCCATCTTTGTGTCACTATGTTTACATATGTTTCAAACTTCTCAAAAAAATGTCAAGTTCCCGAATCAAAAAACAGTATAAATGAGTTTAAATGCTCTTGCCCAAAACTCTACTATGATCGCACACGTCGATGGTACGAACAGGAGAGAAATGGAGCCAAAGCATTTTATTATGTAGAACAAAAGATGCTGTTGAAGACAAGATAAATATGGAAGAGTAGATATTTCAAGTATGAGGCTTTACATTTTAAATCTCACTGTAAAAGATACTGCTGTGTATTATTGTAGTACGGCACAATTATAGAACCGTTGTGTTGAGTTTGTGAGCAGTGAACACCTGCGGAAATACACCACAACAGTTTTTGTACGGTGTAAAGTCAAACGAGGTTACATTCGACAAAAGCATGGACGTGTTACTGTTATTTTTATAGTATTTACTTTGAACATAATTATAATAATATAATAATATGCATAATATGCACACTTACGATATTTAAATAACTCGCAATGAATGTGCAATGATCCAAAACATACACTGAGAGTTTAAAGATAGTTACGAATTTCTGCAATATTTTCAAAGTTGGTTTATAGTCAAAATGAACTTCAAAACAGCTAACTTAAATTGAAAGAGATATTTTCCTTTATATTTTAATTTCATTTTATTGGATGCTAAAGTTAACATATACAACTTGGTTCAAATAATGGCCAACTCTCATTCATTTTAATTTCACACCATGTTATCTATCATTTACCTGTCTATAAATAAATCCATTTGTCCCCGCCCCATACACACACGCTCCTTCCTCATTGGACAATTCCTCGCTGAACTTATTGTATCTCAAAGCAGATTTTTCCATTTCAAACGTTCGTCATAAAAAGAGAAAGATGGCCATTGTGTTGATTTTATCTTTTTATATCAATCTGGTTTCAGGTACGACTCCATGATAAAAAGCATTGAACAAGTGTGTATATTCTTTCATTGCTAAACTATGATTTGTTCTGTAGGTTTCTCTCTAAATGACCAGGTCCATCAGTCTCCGAAGGACTTATACAATACAAATGGAGCCAGTGCTGAAGTGAAATGTTCCCATGACATTCAAAATTACAACCGAATCCTTTGGTACAAGCAGCTGCGTAACGGACAGATGCAGTTTCTTGGTTACATAGTGGGGACTATGACAAGTACAGAGTCTGAGGCCAAAGTGCAAATGAGCGGAAGTGCAAGCAAAGGACAGACGTCCATTTTGACCATCGAGGAGCCGAGCAGTGCTGTGTACTACTGTGCTGCTTCTCTCACAGTGAGGAAAAGCCCGGATTCTCGAGACAAAAACCACTCTGAATTAGCAGTTTGAGATGTTCCACTTGGTCCTGCCCACTTTTGATGTGTAGACTTCTTACGATATATGCCGCTGAATAACACTCTAGATCCCAATTTGCAACCTCTACTGTCAAGTTAGGAATGACAGATGGAAAAAAGCATTTATGCAATAATTTACACTGTGTTTACAGATGGTCACTAATGTGACAGGTCACACAAAAAATGAGCATTAGATTCACTATCACTATTGATTTTACAAGTGTTTCTAACAAGTAAATCATGAACAATAGAAGGAGAAATTAGTTATGCACACATCAAACAAGGTCTATTATTTTAGGTAATTTTAGATATAAAAGAATAAAGCTAATACACTCTTTAAGTATAATTGCACTTGGGATTATTATTGAATTGTAAATATTTAATTCTTTTCATATTTGTTCATTTAAAACAACTGCGTTCAGTTTTTTTTTACTGAAGATATTTGTAAGACATTAGTGCTGGTAAACTGTTAGTGACAACGTATTCTATGGTCAATACATTGTACAGACAAAGAAGCTTTTACAGCTTAAACTATATCTTTTTGACTTGGCCTTAAAGTTCACAGTATCAGTAATTCGTCAATATCAAACCTTTTACATAGTACTTTACATGTTGATTTCATGAAACAAAATAGTAATTACAAACATTTACAAATTCAGAACCTCAGGAACCAGTGAAGAAGGTTTCTCTGTAGCTCCTATAGGTGGCACTGAAGTCTCAGGAACACCACTCTGCATCTCTTACTTTTGATTAAAAAAGAGGCTCAATCCCTCCGGTCTCAGTAGATAAAATCTCTCAGACCAGTCAACATGTTTGCATTCATCTGCTTTTCACTTTTGGGCCTTTGTCTCTCTGTTGAGGTCCAGCAGACTCCACTCGCTTTCATCACAAACCCAGGAGAACAGATCCAAGTATTCTGCAGCCATTCGAGAGGGGACTACACCCTGATGCGATGGTACCAAAAGCAACCTGGAGACCTGTCCCTTAAATTCATTGGATATCTAAACTACGGCAACAAATTCTACGAGGAAGCCTTTAAGCAACATTTCACATTTAGTGGAGATTTGAGTGGGGACAGAGCCAAGAACGCTTCCATGTCGATCACCAACATACGCACAGAGCATAGTGCCATTTATTACTGTGCAGCGAGCTATGCACATTGATTTCATATTCTGCCATCATTGTACAAAAACATTTAGTGGTTTTGAATTAGAAATGATACAAGCCCCGCCCATCACAGCTGCCAGATCCTTCCTTATCATACCGCCTTCTCTAATTCTTTGCAACCGAGGGATGATGCTTATTGAACAACACCAATGGCCGCAATGAAGTACCTTGGATTTATTCTGTTTCTCACAGGTGACTAAGGTTATTATTATTTACTGCACTGGTAAAGGTAACACACAGTAATTATTCCATCTTAATTGAGTGCTATTTGGTTTTGTAGAGTTCATTCAATTTAGTGCTGTTTATTATTTACTTATTATTGGGTTTTTCATAGGTCCAATGTGTATGAGGATGTTATTGTTTCGCCTGTACCTGCGTACTGTAAGAAAGTCCTCTTGCACCAGTTTAACTTGTATTTTATCTGATTTGACTGAAGCACTTTGTGACCTTGGTTTGTGAAAGGCTCTGGATAAATAAAGCTCACTTACTTACTTTATTTATTACTTACTTACTCTATTTTAAGCCAGGCTTTTAAATTTATTCTTTGGACACTCTAAGACGGTTCACATGGGATTATTTATTCACTCCATACACGCTGATAGAAGAGAGGCAAACACACACACACACACACACACACACACACACACACACACAGAGACACACACACCGGGTGTTCCCAAAGGTCTCCCATCACAGTACTAACCAGGCCCTGCCCTGCTTTGCTTGAGG